TAATGTCGATTTTAAACTTATTTATTTTCTTGAAATGTTATTAGTCTTCTTCCGGCGTAGGGCAGTATATACAACACTCAAATTCGCAAGTTGTTAATACTGCTTGGGCATTGCTCGGACTAATGTATGCTGAATATCCGTTTAGTGATCCCATTAGAAATGGAATTGAGGTAATCTTATTTTTATTTATGGAATCAAATTAAAAGCTGTCGCTCTTTTTAACTTTTAATGTACTTCTTTAAAACTATTGTATTAGCTTATTAAGTCGAGGCAACTTCCAACGGGAGAGTGGAAGAAAGAATCTTTTGAAAGCATGATTGGCAAAAATTGTCCGATAAACCATTCAAATTATAAATTTATTTATTGTATTTGGGCATTAGGAATGTATTCTAATTTATACGAAAGTGATGAAAATTATGGTGTTTGGGAGATAATATAATTTTGTTTGGACCTAATAAGTTATTTAACAAATTCTATGTATATAAAATAACGATAATTAGTGTTATTAAATCCATATTCCATGATTGTAGCTTCATATTGTAACTTATGTATATACATATTTAAGTTATTAAAAAAAAATAAATAAATATAATTAACAACTCTAGGAATCATGAAATTATGTTGTGCGTCAATTTTTTTTTATCTTTTAATAGCAAATACAAAACTTTATACACGTCATTCTGGTTATATCGACATCTGGATATACCGACATCTGGCTATAACGACATTTTTTAAAATTTTGAACCTATATACTTAATATGAAGATGCGACATCTGACAATTTCTTGATTTTTTTGAGGTGCCGATATAACCAGAGTGACGTCCACAAAGCAGAGATCTATCACTATAGCTTTGTGATTTGCTGCTATCTTAAGGAATATATACATGTAAACACTGTAAATCGCACTGATACGAAGTCTTATCTGGTTCCACTGAAAATATGAAACTCATTTTTCAGTAAGGGCAAACACACTTATTAACACATCTTTAATAAGGGCAAACACACCCTTTAATCTTCTATACCTCAGTGTGCTATATTGTAATGTGATCACATTCGCGAAGGAACATCCATGTTTCCAGGGTTGGGTAATTTACGTATCGGTATGGTTATTTAAACTGACGTAAATTACGTATCTTACA